GTGATTAATATATATAATGATGTGTGGGCCCCGTAAGGGAGCCGGAGGGGGGTGTTGGAGACCAGAGATTCCGATTCCGAGTAGGGTTACCCTACTTAGGGTGGTTCCTAGGTATCGGGTTCTGGTATTCCTAACATTCCTAGAGCTAGAGCGGCCAGGGCCAGTGGCATTGGTACTGCTGATCCAGACATCCTTCTTGGTTGTGGAGTTCCTCTAGGTAAGCTATAGAGTAGTAATCTGTTTTCTGGTATTACTCGACTTACTGCCCTTGTGGGCTCTGCTGAAATGTGATCTAGAGTGTAGCTAAATTTCCTTAAATTCAGGTTTTAATCGTTGATGTCAATATCTCCTTCCCTATCTGGATAGAAGGATGCCATGTTGTATCATTTAGCATCTCTCTAGATGACACTTTGTAATGTAACAATCGCCTCTCAGATAGCTACTTCTTGGCGGTTCGGAGTGATACTTCTTTTCTTCTTCTCCTTACAATAACACTAGGCCTATGCTTAAGTTACTGATAGTACTAAACCTTTGTCTTCAATCAGGAATGCCTATTATAAGCTTTCTCTAACTCTTCTTCTTAAAGAGTATTCTTATCGTAGTAGCAATAAAAGTCATGATAACGATAAAGAGTATACTGGTGTTTTATATTCATTTAAAGTAATAAGTAGGAAAAGTACTTAAAACAAAGCATAAGGAACCTATCCTCCTTGGCTGTACCGGCCTCCTTATATAGTGTCCTTCCTGCCCCAAGTCATGTGACCCAAAGTGGTCACATGCATGAAACCCATGACCTCGTAATAAGATCATGTATGGAACATAAATTATATGTACAAGGTATACTCACCAGGTGTCCATCCTATGACTCATAATCGAGTCATGTGTAAAACATAATCAATTATAACATAGTAAGCCATATGACCTAAATGAGTCATATGTGCAAAACAATAACATACCTATGCCTCATAATCATGAGTTATATAAAAACACTTTCTGTGTTAAGCTACATTCATGACATTACCATGTACAATACTGTGCAGTATCTTCTAAGAAATACATCTCTATTGAACTACCTGTATCTTTCATGTCCTGAGAACTTCAACTCCCCCTATTGTACAGTATTCTGTAACCATGCTAAAGTTCCTCCCGATTATATAATAGTTCACAGCTCTAAATTCTTGCAGCATACTTACAGTATGCCTAACAGTTCAATAAAAGAAACTAGTTTAACTGAAGATTTTCAATGAAATTTATACAAGAAATCAATGACAAGTACCAACTCTTAGATGGTTTAAACAAGAATTCCACCTCTTCACAGACTATTTTAAGTCTTAAAAAATCTGCTTCTAAGTTTTTTTCCTCTTACTGGTAAGTACTTATGCCACTCTCATTATATATAAACTAATATCTCTCAAACTAGGTAAGCAGATCACTTGGATTTTAAGCTCTCTTTCTATTACAGTCAAGTGACTTTTCCTTCCAATTATGGAACTCTAGATTTTATTCTAAGAAAGGTATAGTCCATGTAGGTCTAACAGTTAGTTGCAGTTTATTTTATATATTTAGGATACAGTTTTGTTTCAAAATTGCATTAGTACAACTCGTTACTATTTCAATACTATCAATCCTTTTTAGATATAGGTAAGCAACTAATTCTTCAGCTTTGAAAAAGTATTTACTCAAAGCTGGCTGCCATAATCTTAACAGACATCTACTTGCTCATGTGCATAAATGACCCTCTGGTATTGAAAACTTACCATACAATAGTAGTAATAATATTAGACTTTTCAAAACTATAAAGCTTAACAATAGCATCTCCTATTCTTGTCCCAATATTGGCATACATTTCAGATATCTTGGAAGCTTGTAGGTGGAGTAAATTGGATTTGAAAGCTTTGTTTACAAAGATCTTCCATTAAGTTGGTTTCTTCTGCAAGCTGCAAGGCACACCATAGGTGTACTGCAGGATTTTGGAACTGTATACTGTTACATAATTTGCAGGAACCCTGGTACAGTTGCCGGTAGGGTTTCCCCAGAAGTTTGGACCTTTTATCACATAAATTATGGCACAGTAGTACCCAATGTGTGGGTATAATACTTGCACAGTTACCAAGTTAACCTGGCACCTTACGGTGGACTCTCAATACACAGGAAGGATGGAGTGGTCTCTCATTACCAGCACTTCCTGCTCCTGACTGTAACTGGTATGGATACTCGGTTATTGGTTTTGTTTTATGTTTCGTTTAAGTATCACTTTGATACTTGGTTTATTTCAAGTATCGTTTAATACTTGATTTTGTTTTATGTTTTGTTTTAAGTATTGCTTTGATACTTGGTTTTGTTTTATGTTTTGTTTTAAGTATCACCTTGATACTTAATTAGTTTTACCAAAGTGTATCGATTGATACCTTTGATTAGTTTTGTTCATGCTAGACATGTACAGATTTGTATATTTAAAGACCGCCTGATCCTGTAATAGACAAGGCAGACTTCGACAGACAGTATTTCAATATACTTGGTTGAACGGTTACTTCTTTGTTCCTCAGTACACCCTCGAAGCCTCCTTTAGTTCTCAGCTCTTGCTTCCTCTCTAGAAGAGCAGGCTACCTGCCAACTATCGTATCTGTTACCAATAACGTGATTAGCACCTTGTAAACACGTTACACTGACACTATGCTATATTATGGAGAAGACTCAGCTCTCTCTAAAATGGCATGGCACAGCCTCAAACTCATTTACCACAAAATTGAAACAAATCGCTGGCAACTTTTATTTATTCAAGAGGGAAACTCTGTATTCTGCTAGTACATGGATAGGTAATACTTGTACCAGTATTCAGCCTAGATCTAGAGAAACCACCCCGCACCATGTGAGTTCAGGCAATAGGTAGGATTCAATACTCAAGTACAGTCGTGTCTGGAAAGTAATGATACCCCAGGAAAGCAACAGGACAACACAACCACCACCACTTTCCATCAACCACCATGGCTCCACCATATGCCCGAAGAAAAAATAAAGATTGGAATCAAGAGATTTATACCCTGTATAAGCATACAGATATAAGGTATAATAAAATTTCAAAGGTTGTAGAGGTCTCTAAGGCAACTGTTTAAAATATTGTAACTAGAGCTAAAGAAAGAGGTGGAGATACCTACTATGCTTCCCAGCCTGGCCACCCAATATAAATTACCAATGCCAAAAGAAGAGTAGTAGAGGCTATTATCGATGTCGAGCCTTATTTAGCATTACACAAAATCATCCAAGAAGCAAATATTAGTCTTAACAAGACCAGTATAGATAAAATCATATCAGATGCTAGTTTTAAGCTTTTGATACCAAGGAAAAAGCCTTCTTGGAGAAAAGGACAGAAGGAGAAGAGAAAGGAGTTTTCTAGGAGAAGGAGGAATTGGAGGAGGACATGGAATTAAGTGGTCTTTGTTAATAAAGCTACAATTATCCATAATCCAAATCCCACTAAAAGGAAGGTCAGGATAAGAGCTGGTGAAAAGTTAGAGGAAAAAAACTTAAAGCCTAGCTTTAAGTCAGGAAGGACTAGCATTGGGGTCTATACTGCAATAATGAAGGGTAGCATAACTGAGTTAATTCTTATAAGGAAGAGGACTGAGGAGGAAAAGACTAGCAAAAAGGATAGACTTGGCCTTAATTCCCACTAATATGCAACTGAGATCCACCAGCCTTACCTCATCCCTTTTATAGAAGGTCTTGATAGACCTTCTAAAAACATCTACCTAGCTTCAGATAATGCCTCATGGCATGGTGGTGCAGAAAATCAGAAATTTCACTCAGACTCTGGTTATCAGAAATTGCCTTGGGCACTTCTCAAAAGAGCCCTCAGAAAGCGATTCTCCAGGTTGAAAAGAAGGCCCCACAGTGCTGTTGAATTATTTCTGGCAGCAAAGAAAGAGTGGGATTTAATTCCTCAGGAGACATTGGATAAGTGAATAGTTAGGATGACAGAGAGAATTCAGGCTGTATTGGATGCAGAAGGAGGTCATACAAAGTGGTAGTAGGATTTTTTAAAAGCCTATTGTATCTACTTTCAGTTTTCTTTTAATTGAGTTTCTACTTTTATTTTTTCTATGGTTGATTTCATCAATGGTGGTGGTTGTGGTTGCCATGGAGGGGTATCATTACTTTCCGGACACGACGGTACTGTACAGCAACAAAGGCTAGTTGTATTTTCCAATCAAAAAATCAATTTTCAAGACACCAACCAAAGTACACACCTTCCGCATCACAAGAAGCGCTAGCTCGAAAGAAAAAAGAAAAAAAACAACCGCTAAAAACCTCCCCCCTGCGATGGAAATCTTTTGTATTGGTCGTTATATCGAGAACTTCGCCTCCCTGTTAATGTAGGCACCTCCGAGAGAAGTATGGAATATCTGGAAAACAAATCCCGGGGGATATCAGTACCGCTTAATCCAAAGAAAGACAATGCACATAATTGTCAGAATTTCTGAAAAGGAAGAGAAGAAGACACTGCTAACTTTCTTATGGCTGTTGCTCTTGTTGAGATACAGTAGACCTATCCGATGGTGCGCGAGGCAGCGCGACGAATGCTGTTGGGTGAAGAAGGGGGATCAGCAACAGGTATCTTTTGGTTACCCTACTTTGACGAATTTTCTTTTTTACCCAATACCCCTGTTCGTCATCCACCGGCATGATACTTGTATCGTACAATGTTCGTCCTGCCCCCGCTGGGGACCATACCGGTACTCGACTATCATCCACTATAAGTTACGGTACCTTACTAGTACCCTGTGCAACAACCGTCTTCGAGTTGTGGTAACCGACGGTCAGACTACTAGTACACCCTCCTGCTGCGATCGCTTTGCTCGACTTCCGGAGTCTCGAAAAAATGTGGCTAGTTATGCAGCTGTGCTGAGGCTTGGCAATTCTTTCGGATCCTGCGCCACGAAAGGTTTGATATCGCTTACCGGCAGCTCGCAAGAACTCTCGACTTGCTCAACCACCGCCAACATATTATTATCCCTCCTTCTTCTGGTTATTTCACCCTGCAGTCCTCATAGAAAACACATTGCCCTCCTTCGACAACAGCTATCCCTAAAACTAAGAAAACACTATTCCTTCGGACGGCTCGTCTTCCTGGTTTCTTTGCTACAGCCTTGTCTATTCGCTTGCCACCGACGACACCAATGTGGCCCTTCCCGTCCCCGGCACCAAGTTCGTACGTCGCCCAAACACAAGCACAAACTCACCACCTCTCAACATCGCAAACTCGGCCCAACATACATAGAACAAATAGCCCCGACCTATTCTACCCACATTCCTTGTCTAGTCCTATCGAACAACATCTCACCCCTTCCATATTATCAACTTCAAACATGCCCAGAGCCCGAAGAGCTTCACGCCCAGCTGGCCCTCTGATCGACTTGACTGACACAGTTCCTATTAGCCCCTCGTCAAATACTCAGACCGAGCGGGTATTCCCAGCACCTAAACGACGCAAAACTTCAGAGTCCCCCATACGTTTCGCAAAGGTCGAGAAGGTGGACTTGAGCCTTGAAGCGGACGATGAGTTCTCTATGAAGAGGAACAGGGAGGAGCTGCTGAAGGTTCAGGGCGGAGGTGATGATGGGAAACGCAAAAAATTAGCAGGGTTCTCTTGCGTCATCTGTATGGAGGATGAGCCGACGGATTTAGCTGCTACTCCTTGCGGTACGAGAGCGCACTACCAAAGCGCAACTTCCTGCTTCTCTCTCACTCTTTTAACTGGAAAATGGCTAAGCGGGCGAAATGGTATATTATAGGTCATATGTTTTGCCACCTCTGTTTGCACGGCGCGATTAAAGCCAGTACAACCACTACCCATAAATCCCATGGTCGTTGTCCCGTATGCCGTGGGAAAGTATCGCTCAAGGATGTGGTAACAATAGAGTTCAAACTCTTATCCAAATCTCAGGGAAAACAGCCAGCAAAGTAACTTTGGACAATCTTCAACAAGGTCTAACCCAAACAACTTATTGTATATTTACCCACTTCCTTTCCACCTTGGTTTGCCTCAAAACTCCTTCCTACAAGCTCCTCTTTTTTCCTATCACCGCCCTATCACCCTCCCCCTTAACAGCTAATTTGGGTTTAGAGTGGTGATTTTTTTTTTTTTTCCTTACCCTCCCAATACATTTCGCTTTCTTGTACCTTTTTTATATTGAGATATCTGGACCGGATAGTTTGGGTGGTGATGGTGATGGTATTTGCTTCTGAGTTCTCTCAACCCTCTTCTTCTTTTTCCTCTTCCCTCTCCTACCGTTGCTGAATGGTTCATGGCCTGATTCGCAAAGTATTTTATTATATTTCCTGGTACTAGACCGGTGTTTGTTTGTTTGTTTTTTTCGGCTTTTTCCATTCTCTCTTTACCTGTACTCTTGGGTTGACAAATCTTGCTTATCAGGGGGAAGTGGATAGTAGTTTACTTTATTTGTCTTACTCTACTCTGCCTTAGGCTACTTGGAGAGGGGGTGGTCTTTCCCCCCTCCATTTTCTTAAAAGGTTTAGCATTTATCGAGAGTTTATATATCGAAATATTCGTGTAGGTTTTTTCAAACCATTGAGTAAGTTACGGTAGCGCAATACGAGTTGAATATCTAGGATTAGAGCCGTTGTTGTTGCCGGCCGGTATGGTACAATGTCAGTGCTGCGGGTGTGTAGAGACCCGGTCTTGTATATACAGTCGAGACCTTTGCACCACGAGATCTATCAATAGGTCGCAGGTTATGATATGCCTTGGTTGTGAGCTATTTCAATGCGGTGTGGTACAAAACAAGGCTGGTTATGGATTCACTAGCAGGGTAGTTGAGGGTGGAGAGGGAAGGAGGGAGAAGGATGTGTGCGTGTGTCCTTTGAAGATATTGTTACTATAGACGGGTCTAGCCATCATGTTGTTCCACCCGTACAACAGAAACAAGAATAACGCGGTACCTATCCCATCTACCAATACCGTTTTGTTGATGTCCAGAATTCGTTGATTTTACATTGGGGGAGGCATAAGACGATCACCATCCATCCTTCTCTTTTTCTTCTTCCCTCCTCACATCGTATCACCCACCTTACCAATCAGTAGAAAATGCCCCCCCCAAAGGAGCGGAACTATTATTATTTTCTGCAGGGCGCCCCTCGGCTTTTCAAACCCAGTGAGTGATGTCAGGAAGGGTATCTACGGACGATGCAGTCTTCCGCGGCCATCAGCCTTAAGACATCTACTGTGCCTTACTGCGCTGTGCAGATTAATCAGCAGTGCTGATAGGGTATGCACATGTGTAGCAGTATGATACAAAACCCCACTTGGATCTGGTGTAAATTCCGAGTGACAAATAGTGAAAAAAACCCTGCCCGGTTACCGTACCGGTATATATGGTCTGTATCGGATCAGCTCACAAAAGTAGGGTAACCGGCAGAAGTGTAAATTAAGAATGAAGACATGGCATCAACGTGCCCGTCCTGCGGCGCAGCAAACCTAGCCAATCACAACCTCACCTTTGCCAACATAAATTAAGCGAGCGACTTGTGCAGGTACTGTACTAGCACAAGTACAATTCCAGCGTCTCAGCAAGGATCATTCACAGCCTGGAATACTCGTACCTGTCAGAACTGAAAAGCGAATTTCAACCTCCTGCGTCCTACGACCACAATTCCTTGCATCTGATCGATAGACGAGCGAGCCGGGATAATAAAAAGAAAAAAGGGCAATGGCTGAAAGGAAACGGGGGCAAATGATCCTCCCGCCCGCAAGCGCAGCGGAGCCGAAATCTACGAAGGGGAAGAGTGCGAAGCCGCCAATCAAAAAACCCAACGCAACAGTCTACGATGCCGTCGCTAGTCGCGTGAATTACGCCGGTATGATAAACGCTGGATATGAAGATCAGCATGGGGAGTTCCGGCGACGGTCCATGAGAGCCGTGCCGGCGGATGAGGTGCT